TTTATATATATATCTATAATAATATTTTTGGTTGACTCTCTACTCTCTATAACGACCTGTTTTTCTGGTCCCGACGATGTGGTTATAGAGAGGCTGCACTGTATAAAACGCCTGGGAAAAGTAGGTAGTGACCTCAGTGCTGATGAGTGTCTTGTAGGTGGCCAGTGAGGGCAGGTCAACTATATGTGGTCGCTTTTAAGGACAAGCGGGCTAACCCAGGTTTCGGGGGTTTCCAGATATCTTGACCTACACCAAAAGTGGGCGTTGCCTTACCTATATAGGAGAAGTTTGGTTTCACTGGTGTGTATATTTGTTTGGTTATAGAGAAAACTCTCCTTGTTTTTTAATGAAACTGAACAAGGGGCAAAAACTTTACCTTTGATTTTCTCAAAACAGCATTTTTAGGGATAGCCCCCTTGTGTTTAAAAGCGACCATATGTGTCATGTCGCGGTGTATTCAGGCGCTCTTCAATTTTGGGACATGTGGAGTTATTGGTATAATCTGAAAGCTGATTTATTTGTCTTGTTTCCAATGAAATAAATATCCATCTATCTTGAATAGAACTCAAGATATTTGCGATTGAAGGAGGTGAGGTCACCTGGTTTCAGTGGTGAAATTTGCGAGAAAATGGACGCCAAAGTTTGGTACATGTAACTCCAATAGCTAAAGAGTCCTTGAAGACAGGAAAATAACATATTTTGTGCCTTTAATCAATGTTTTTCCGTAAAATTCACCTGGAAATGTTTTTATATGGACATAAAAGAGGTTGAGCCAAAAAATAAAAATTCGATTAAAATTTTCAACTGGCGGAAAAATGCCCGTTTCTCTGATTTCTGTATTTCGACAAGCGGCTGATTTCACCACACTGCCTCACATATAGGCTTACATACATGTGAGGCGTGCTGACAAAATGAGTTACTTCTCGCTATCCACAAATGGAGATGTTGCCCAAAAACTGATACTTGGTTCAAATTTGTAAATTTTCTATTGATGCCTTATTCTTTAAGTATAACAAGCCTTTTATTATTTCATACTTATGAATTTTAAAAACTCCACCTATAAGCGTGATGTTTCTATTTCCATTGGGCTCAAATACGAGTAGTAACTTATTTTGTCAGCGCTTCACAAATTGTTGTGTGTGTTCATGGGTGCAATTGTAGCCTAAGTGTTCAAATGCCCTCATCAACACAATTTTGATGAATTAGAGTGCGGTCGAAAATTCGTGGCGCGAGTTATTGTCAAATATCTCCTCAACTATCGAACATAATCTCTCCACCTTTTGCACAGTGACTTGTATCAATTTTTCTTAACAGATCAATATTTTTGTAAAGACCTGTTACCTCTATTCTAGAAAATTCCTTAATTATTAATAAATACTCATAAAAAATCCTAATGGGTGGTTTCTACTGATTTTAAAAGGTTTACTGCTGGGATGAAATCACTTTTAAAAGCAAGTCCGTCATTTTTTTTCTAATCACAAGATTATCTTTATTGAACGCATGTTTTGAGAACTTTTAGTAGGGCAAAAAAGTGTTCACTATAACTAAAATTAATTTCTTGTAACTAGTTTTGCCACTAAAAATTGTCATTGGTGAGCTGCGATGTAACCGATATGCGTATACAGAATGTGTGTCAGGAACAGGAAGCACTGTGAACATTTCTATTTTCCTAGGAGGTTTCTAGTATTTTATGTAAATTTAAAATTTAAGAAGAAAAGTTTTTTATTCTAGCCTCAATTGTTGCAGAAAAGTAATATGATTAAGTTAATACAAGTCGAGACCAACTGCTGTGTAAAGTATGGGTGACATTGATTCACCCGTTTTATAAAGATATTTGAGGATAAGTTGCGCCACGAATTTTTGACCACACTATAGGAGTCGGGTTACTGAGGTCCTGCCAGCCAGGGCCTACCCAGGTTGAGTGATATTCAATGCCCCATCAGACAGATACTTGGTGGTTGCAAGCGCCGTAAAACCCCATACTAAACTAAAACTAAACTATTCAATGCCCCATCAGACAGATATACTTGGTAAAAACACCAATCAACGCCCCATCAAAATACCTCTTAATGCCCCATCAAAACACCAATCAATGCCCCATCAGACAGCTATATACTTGGTAAAAACACCACTCAATGCCCCATCAGACAGCTATATACTTTGTAAAAACACCACTCAATGCCCCATCAGACAGATACTTATTTATTGGTAAAGACACCTCTCCAAACGGGAATCAAACTCACTTCTTCAGTATGTGTTGACAAAGAGCCTAACTTTTGTAACTATCACGCCACAGACGCTTGTATAGCTCTAGAGCATGATTGACCAGACTATGTTTAAATCCCCCCCCCTCCCGCTGTCTGTCTGTCTGTCTCTCTGTCTCTGTCTCTGTCTCTGTCTCTCTCTCTCTCTCTCTCT